CCTTACATGTCGCAATCACCTCTAAATAAAGATTAACCGGTGAAGGCCGGGGCTGGAGAATCGATTTTATGGACGTCGCGTGCCAAGAGGCGCCTAAAAGAGGCGCCCATCGAGACGCTCTTTTTAAGAAGCCTTAATTCAGTCTTTTCTGACCACTTCGAGTCTTCAGACTCGAGATGAAAATTGGATGGAGCTATGATGATCTGTCCATCCGTCAAAATATCTTCGAGTATGATACGTGGGCTCATCCACGAACTTATACCGGAGTTGAGATGGTTATCCTAATATTTTTACTTATGTAAGTTTAAGTACGACTCCCAGTTTTTTTTAAATTAATAAGTTTATAATCATAAGTGAGACCAAATAATGATGTAAATAGGTTACATCGCGTTGTGGGGAATATTCGGTATTCATGGTCTAAGATTTAGTTGCCTTCAAATTATAAACATTTATTTCCTTGGTTGAATGATATTCCGAGTTGAAAGGACTTCGGTTGAGGCATCGATTTAAGCATAAGACCTCTTCATTTAAAGTACCGCCGAAGACTGGGTGTTTTAGTCGTAATTCCAGCCGACTGGTAAAAAACTTGATGGTCGTAAAAGGCAGCGCATTAAATAATCGCCACGAAGTTAAACAATTTGCATAAAAATATCCTCCGGATCCTCGGTGCGTGGGTGAAGCCAGTTTCGTTAAGAGAGCGCAAAGTTCCTTTTCGAAGAGCCGCCTTAAAAGGCACGGCAGGCCTGTCGAATATTAAACATCGTCTCGCCATTTCTCGAGAATGACTCTACTTCTTAAGTACCATCCAGTAATAACCCGGGCTAAGTAGACGGCTTATTCCCCGATCTATTTTCCATACGCAATTAAAGCTAAATTCTGAATAAAATTAGGACTCAAAGCGAAGAGTTTCGTCGGGATTTTTTCTTTTTACACGGCTTGAGTAAAAAAATCCGGGAACACTTTATTCCAGCAATATTTCTCTATGTATAAATATTTTTTTTAAATGTTGACATATACGAGACGTCCATTTACCTTATCTCTCAGGATCCATGAATGACATTTCATCAGAGGACGACTCGATCGGCACAATGAACTCCTCGCCTGCGGCCAGGGACATTTACATACGAATACTCCGTTTGCGGACCCGCCCGCGAAGGAAACCGCAAATTTTTGCCGAGTAAACGCACGTATAAATATTTATCTCCACCCTGAAGATCTGGGAGAAGGGTCGAAATCTCTCGACATACGAATCTGGTCCAAAAATACCCATCATTTCTGCCAGCGGCGAAAGATAACGCGAAAAGCGACCAGCTTTCTCGAAGATCCAACCTCAACAGGCTTCACTATTTCTTATGATTTGATTTTACAAATCCAACCCGATAAAAATACTGAAAATCAGCCGAGCGATTTCACTCCTCCCTTGAGAGTTCTCCAAATATCGGGCGTTTGTAATCTGGCGTCAGTGTCGTTAACGAAAGATAATCTAGGAGCATTTTTCACGCGAAGTCGATACGCGAATAAAGTTCCCACGTGGGTGACTCGTAAAGCGGAAAAACTGCTTTTATCAGCCCGAGTAATCATTAAATATTCATTCGGTATAATCCCGTGAGGTGCGATGGCTTAAAGGCTTAAAGACCCGACGTTGCCTCTATGCGTCGATTTCGCCCTACTCGATGATAATCCTAATACTGAATTATAATAAACATATCAAGAATAATTAAAAAATAGCCAGTAACTCGATATCAACGCTCATTGAAAAGCGTTTCATTCAAAAAGTGCGGCTTTAGTTGAAATTCCTCGCGAGGATTTCTCTACGTCGTTGAATTCTCGCTTTCTTCTTGCGGAGACGTAATTCCGTTTTTGTCGGAAAAAGAAAAGAAAGAGGAACTGATTACGTTTCCCAGAGCAATCTATGGAGACAGAAGTTTGCCGTATCGTGGGAAAATGTCCTCTTTTTAGGCGAGTTTCGCGAACATCCTGGGAGGTGCTGGACCGAGTTTGCTAACTCCGGGAATTTCTCAAAAATGTCCCGATTCGGTCAACCCCATCCACTCGCCTCCACTTTGATAATTCCCTGGGCAGAAAGTTCATCCTGGAATTCACGGTGGTGGTATTGCAGGCCATTGCCGTTTTCCGATAACGGCCGTTAAGACCCCCCGCGAAGAACCGCCGATGGGAATTCGGTGAAACTCCTTAATGAACGACCATTCGAAAATGTCGCTTCGACTCGACACTATGGCCTCTCTTTTTTTATTTTTTTTAATTTTTGCGAACCTCTTAGACACCGCAGATACGTCGCCGTAATTTTGGAACAGAGACAACGCCACGTAATATTAGCCCAAATACTGGAGACAAATGTCAGCAATTGAGATGAACATCAATTATAATTGAACGCAATAGAAAGTGGTCGTTTTCATTTAGCACAAGTGGATACAGAGCTCTTCGCAAATGAAAGAGACCGGCTCGACGAGTTTTATTAAAGCCGAACGTTTTGCCCGATATCGTCGGGTATCACTTAATGAGCCCACTCTGACTGAAATTTATAAAACGTTATTAAACATTTTCCAAGTATACAAAGTACTCGCTGGTTTAATTCCGATGACATGGATGGCGGGAGATAAACTGCGGAATTCTTAAACGCTTCGCCTAACACTTTATGTCTGTGTTCCCCTCATAGGTGACGGGGAGAAATAATTGTATTAGTGAATTATATCGAGGAATTATATTAGCGAATAAATAAGAGCAGATCCGATAGATCCTCAGCCCTCAACTGAGCGTCTTTATCGCTAATGCGATCACTCTGGAGTTCCTTGACTCGATTATATCCCCCAAATATTTTCCCACTCGCCATGCTCGTTAGAGAAGAACTCAACCTAGGCTCAGGATACGTGGCACAAATACACCCGCAATAATTTAGCATGTCAAGAAAGACCCTTCCTATCTCGCTTCCTCTCCCAATTCCCAGATTCCCGAGGCACGTCCAGCAACGAACAACGAGAGAAAAGCTCGGACTCGAGATTGGAGATTGGATGGGAGCTTTTCCCAGGGCGTAACGATCTCCGCCGCGGAAAACAAACTTTCCCAATTATTTTTTCCCCTGAATCGCTACCAAAGTGTCGCTCTGACGTCCCTGTCGTAAAAGGTGCCGTCAGATATGAGTTGGGACATTGCTCACGGGCAGGGTCGCGAGATCGCGTCCTGTGTCGTTCCCCGGTGGAGGATGTAGACGGCTAACGCCCTTACCACCTGATACCCCCCAATGGCAACCCAATTCAGGAATCCACCTCGTCTCTCCTCCCAACTCATCTTTGTGATAACAAACACCGTTTAATATCTTTCAACATCTTTCAACGTGGCCAAAAAAGGATGGCTGTCCGAAAGAACGGAACGCCATCGTGGTAGTCCTCTTCGGCATATAGCCTCTTCGACTCTTGCAGTCTCTTCGGACAGAGCTCCCTACGTCTCGAACGCTTGGCAATCCCCTGATATTTCGGATTAAAAAAAAAAATCACTTCGCCAGCAGATCCAAAAGCTAGCAAAACGACGACCTACGATCCGAGGATGCGCATTCCGGGCGTATCACACATTTATCCGGATTCCCAAACACGGTCCAATTAATTTCATTCCTGACAGAAAATTGTCACAATCGCGGGCACCCAGGAATACCCTGAGCGAATAATTCACTAGACCCGAGGCGGCGTTTCCGCGTGCGGAACTTAAGCCTCTAAGCGGAAAAGCTCCTGGTCGAGCGGAGTTGGCGAACAACTTTGCTAACGAAGTCCATCCAGACTTGCCGATCGTATTTTAAATCGCATACCGATGTGAAGAAATCCATTTTCCCGAGTGACCCAGAAGTTCCTCTTCTTCGAGGAGAACTCGAAGAAGTTGATTTCCCCGGGAGGAGGCTGCAGGAAAAATGGATACTCGGCTCGAGAATTCCAACTCACTTCCGTTGAATCCAATTTTGCCTGAAATTTTTCCATTGAATGCGCTTTTCGGAAATGTTCCGCCTCGGCTGGAAAAGGGGACGATTGCATACTCGTTCTATTTGAAAGGGGAAATAATTAAAAAATAAATGGAGTCGTTCCAGAAACCATTATGCAATCGTTTCGGAGCTTAGTGCGATCCCCTTCCTGGGGTAAAGGTAACAACGGTTACATTGTAAAAGTAATTCCCCAGGATAATGCACATTTTCAGGAATATCCCGAAAGTTTTCTGACTTTGCGGTACGAGGGAGAAGAAATTTAGAAGTTAGAATCGTATGTTACGACCATGCCAGAACTGCACATTTTATTTCTTCAAAACTCGCTGGCGTGTCTCAAAATGTCTACTACCCCTTTCGTATTTAATCCGGTGTGGTGGGATTTTTGTCGTTACGTTCCAATGCCTCGAGTTCTACTAACAAAGAGGAGTATCGACCGCCTTAATCTTCGTATTTGTCAATTTACTAGGACTGAAATTTACTGGAATCCTCCCCAGGGGTATCGTCGAACTGCCTTTACTAAGTCTCCGCCATCTTGGACGCGCAATTCAAAGTTTCTGCAGGAACTGCATACCTATACATGCACTTACGTAATAACTGCATGTCCCCTCGCGATGGAGTTGGCTTAAAAATTCCGCAAAATGCCGCGGCTATAAAATCCCGTGGGACGATAAAATCTCCGAGGGGATCGCGGAAATAACTCACGGAACGAATTGGATCAATTCCTTCGATCGAGACGGCCGCCATCTCTTTTCCTTAACAAAGGAGAGCAATTTGCATAATCTCCGCGGAAAGAGGACCTCGTGGCAAGCAGGAGCAAGCGTATGAATTTTTTCTTCTCGGAAAATGATTCCTCTCCGACACCTCGCCGGAAGGGGATAAAAGGGGGATGAGTTATTGCGAAGGGTGGGTGCCTATTCCTCAAAAACGTCACCGCCACCCTTAGACCTAAATGCGACAGCGAGTTGTTTGTAATCCCTAACGGAAATACATTTTCCAAAATGTGGGACACTCTGTCCTCGTTAAACATAAAATTATTTATTTCGCAATATATTCATTACAACAACAAAAAATAGCAGAGCTTGATTTCACCTTGAGGATGACCACACTGAAAAATAAAGGAATAACGTTACATACATGTCAAAAAAAATCATCTCCAATAGTACATCCTTGACCTCGACATTCGACACTTTTATATAAGAACTTAAACGTTCCCTCGGAATCTTTCTAATATAATTCAAGGTGTTAAATATAAATATTGTTACCATAATCTCTTCTTGAATTTGCTCGAAAGGTCCGCCAAGGTAGAAGCAAGTAAGCCTAATAAAGACAAACGAGAAGGTTCTAATGAACCGCTTCTCATTAAACGCTTGCAGACGGGAAATTGTTCTCTATTCTCCCTCCGACCTTGAACCTAAGGGATTAAAAACGAGGATTAAGAAGGCCGCCCCTTTCCAAGATCTCTTAATGCAAAAGAATCCATTTAATGTTCCCCGAGGTCGAATGGCGCCCGGAATTCGTCGCGGACTTCGAAAAGCCAAAGCGTGAGCGACATTTCAAATGAATACATTCGACTTACCGAAGAGATAGGCGTTCTTTAAAAATTCAGTTCTAGTTAACAATGCTCCTTTTTCTACCCTATGACCAGGCGTTGAGAAAAAATCCAAAGCGCGTATATAACCAAATAACCAAAATGTAATGATTACATTTACAAATTAAAGTATACAATTAATCCCTTCACTGTGGCGTCTCGCGTTTGCGGGAATTTCGCGGGACCCTGAAGAGCTCCTCATTATGCCTCGCATTTGGCATATCTCGATATATAGAAAAGCGTATTAAAAAATCTACGTAATATACACATGCGATATGATCGACTAGGCTTAATGATGTCACGGAGTACACGAAGAGGTGCCGAAGACGATCCCGCAAGTTTCCGTGACCCTTTGCTCCAATTTTTTCGAAAACTTGGGAGCCGTTTCGTCGATCGTGGTCGGTTTCAAGTAACAACCAGTTTCTTCAGCTTCGCAGCCACTGTAACGATGAGTCAACGCCAAATCAGGGTCGACCACGAGCTCGTCGTAACCTGGAATCGCAATATCGATGAGAATTAAATCACGACGCGTAGACGAAGAGGGCCGCAAGCTCTGAATTGTCTCCCTGTCAAAGCAAGGAAGCTTGGAAACTAATTTAACTTTGCTTGCTGCGTCGGTTCCGGGTACACTTCGGCTTAGGGTTAAACCGGACGCATAATTAGTGGGCATGAAAAAAAAAATATATATAAACAATCGGTACCCTCTTCGGGAACTCACTTCTGGAGAACATGGAGACGCCTCTTCGAAATTCCTGAACACTATATTTCCCCAGCTCGATTGCGTCCTTACTGCGAACGATATATCTACTCCCGATACCGGCTTCGTCGAATTTACGCCGCCGCGTTGTCTTGGCTTGCGAAACGAGATATGGGGACTCTGAAATAATAAATAGATGACGGTTCTATAAATGTAGCGGGAAGCCAGGAATATTGAAATCGTCTCATCGAGCCGCAAGACTTGGTTGGGTTTAGGGTTCTAGTTAGAGAAGTTCGGTGTTCTTCGGCAATTAAGACCAATTGGTAAAAGTAAGTCGGATCTAGTGACGTCTAAATGTGATCACCGCGTCTTAAAAGGTCTATTTCAGAGCGAGGAGTCCTTACTGGGGTCTCTCGGCGATACGTCGTCGTACATCGTATAGAAGACGTTCCTGAAGACAAAAGCCGCATACTGGTTGCGCAAGCCCTTCGACCTGTGCGGATCCAAGTAGAACATCATCTCTTTCAAGTTCTTGTGAACCCTGGGTACAATGAAGTCCCCCACGCCCACATGGGCGACATACTCGTATCCTTCGTGGAAAGAACTCCTGTAAAAACAGTCGTTCAGGGCCGCATAGTCCCCTTCGCCTCTAAGAGTCTTCTCGTATTCATATATATCCGGAAGCTGCCATTGCATTACAGTAGCCGTTCCACGACTCGCATAGACCTCCAGAACTCGATTCACCCTTTCCGACACCGAGCTATTGTACACCATAAACTGTTCCGCTCCCATCATCGAGTAATACTCGAAGAACTCGATCAGGCGCAAGGGCTCGTCGTACGTATTGTGCAGAACTGCGAGGAAAATGAAGAAAAATTAGAATTATCGACATTTCGTAATACCACAAGGAAAGAAAATAAAGGAGCTATAAATTTCTCGTAAACATTCTTTATCGTCAATGTTACCGGGCATACAGACGGCCAGGAACTTATCGAAGTCGCTGATCCTGCTGATCCTCCTCTTGGGGTAGTTTATGTCGACGAATGGCACCAAGTCCGGTTTCCCATAGTCCTTGTTCGCTTCCCCTAGACTAACCGAGACTGGCAAATGACTCCGATGATACAATGTCTCGTAATTCAGGTCCATAGACAGTGTCAAATCGCAGAGGACGAAGAATGCCGCGTACTCGAGGTCCCAATGTTCTCCGATTGCCTTTATCTTGGCAGCGAGGCGGCTTCGAATTTCCGTTTCAGACCCCCTAGTCCTGTATTTGTAATGACATGTCAAAGGCAAATCTGCTCTGTCAAGAGGCAGGATCGCGATGATCCTGATCTCGGCCCATGTCTGTTCCCATTTGGAATTCTGGTGCCTATACCCCAGGATGACTTCCGGTCGAATGTCCACGTAGGCAGAATACACGTGTCCCTCGGGAACTCCTGTCGGGAACCACGTGTCCCGATTTCCGGATCGACTGGCCGAAATATACTTGATCTCCAAATCGAAGATGTCGACCACAGTTCCTTGGAGGATGTGCAGCTCGGCGAATTTTGCATTTCTCTGAAATCGAGGGATTCTCAAATGTACACTTTAAGGTGTTATAAAAGTGTCATATAGACATATATGTACCAAAAAGTGAAAATATTTATAAAACATTTCTCCAGAAGGGATGCTCTGAAAAAACTTGAAACTGTAACACGAGGTCCTGACGAAGGTCTTGAAACTCGCGAGGTTTCATGTCTCGAAAAAAAAATGTATTTATTCCGGATAAGCAAAAAAAATTTTGGCATATATATATGGCACTTTCATAACACCTTGAGTCGAGTATACCATACTCTTGAACAACTAAACTACGCTTACAAATTAAATACTTTAATATAAATCTGCGTATAATCTACAATCGCAAGGTGCATCTTCAGGTATGGCAAAAATATCGCGTTATCTCGATCGTTAGAACCTTCTCGTGCATTTCGGAGCGAATCACTTGGAGTTAAGGAGTCATTGATACGATTTTTACTAATGTTGCTAGATCTTTCCGGGAAGAGGTGAAACGAACGAAGTGACGAGGAACGATCCGACTTACCGACGACTGCGCCGTGATAAGGAAGACCACGAAGACGACCACCGCGAAGACAAAGATGGTCCTGATTTGTCGTGGTACAAACGACCATGCCGACATTGCCGGCCTTTGCAAAAGGGAATACCTTACCATCGCATGTTAGGGCGATACTAGCTTGGAAACGAGTCGACGAGCCGAGTAGATAGCGGGGAGAATCCACTTCTTGGTATCTACCTTTGGCACAGATAAGCGCTCCCGATACTTCACTGGACAATACTCGCCGAGTTCAGAATTCAGATACTTCGAGAGAATATCTACAGACGCGTCCTTAAGCTTGATCGACGAATCTATATCGCATTGTCGTCTCTCACTCTCGACAAAGTCAACGCAAGCATCATTGAGTCATTCTACCTGCGCGCCGAGAATGAAAGCGATATTGCGTAGAAACCAGTGCAAAAATAATGAGATCTTATCAGCCAGTCTCCTCCCCATAAGAAACTCTAGGGTAATATCGAGCGGAAGGTTTAATTCTATTTGTAGTTCCTTTAATGTATCATGACATAAAGAAGGGTCTTAAGAGATCTTGGGGGAAGAGATATCGCGAAATCCTCGCAAAAGTCGTTACCGCACAATTTACTGGTTTATTCATGTAGTTATTATACACCTTTCTGTCCTAGTGTGGCGTCTTACTTTTAAAGAAAAGCACGGTTTATCATAAGCATTCATTTTCTTAACTGGCCCTGGTTTAGCAACGAACATTAGAAATCGACGCGACGATACATGTGTATACATAGATACTTTTTTAAAGCCTACGATTCTACCGTAACAGGTGCTTAGGTGGTATGAAAGTGATTTCCAACACGCATTATCATCTAGAGTCATCATGTACAAGGAGGAAAAATAAAGTTTTAACGCGCCCCCGCGATACAATATAAAACATAAAAATCCGTAACCGGATCTTTCGAGAACCGGAGGTTCCCGAATGTACCCTCGAGATTCCCCCTTCGAGTCCTTAACAGTTCCCAACGGTTCAAGTATTCTCTCCGAGTTTTCTCAGCGAGAAGTCTCATTAAGTCTCAGTCCTTAGAGCGGTATCAGGGTCCTTCCTATACTCGACCAACATCCCCATGATGTCCTCGACACTGAGAACGGGGCACGACAAATGTATATGCTCGGCCAGGCCCCTGTCGTCGCCCTTAAACCGAGCAAGATCCTCATCGGTGACGATCAGCACTAACTGAGAGTCATCCTCCATCGCGTTGTCCTCTTCAGGGTTCTCCAAAACGTCCGCGCCCTCCTGAATTGAGGATTCCCCAGCTTCCTGAAGCTGCTCTTCGCCTTTTCTCGGGGAATTCTTGCTGGTGAACTCTTCGGGCATGTACAAGAAAGCGGAGTCATCGGCATCGTCATCGGACGATCCGAATATCTCTGCGACCTGGTCTCTCTGCAGAGTGTTGTCGTCGGCCTTGAATGCGTCCGCCGGTTGACAATCGGTTTTGCAACCTTTCCGATCCTTCTCGGTCGAATTTCGAGACGCGGGACAAGCGATAGCTATTTCTTCAGCAACCGCCTCTTCCTGCTGGGGCTGTTCAGCCTCCGTCCCCGGCTGGTTCTCCGGTTCCACTTGATCTAGCATAGCAACGAATTCTTTCAAGTTCTCCCCGCACTTGCCAGACCTGATGAGGATCCTGATGATCTTCTCCGCAGCCCAAAGATAATTCCCCAAGGAGCCATGCGCCACCGCCTTGTGTTCAACGGCCTTGTTGACGATCTCGAACTGCTTGCGGCATAGTACGCAGAGGTCGTCGTGGGTCCACAAAAAGTGGACCCTGAAGTAATGGCAGTTCCCAAATTTCTTGGTGCACCCGGGGCAGGAAATAACCTCCTTGCGGTTAGAGGTGTTAAGGAGCTGGTACTGACAGAGCGCTCGCAGATACGGTCTTCCCAGCCTCTTCAAAATCTGCTCGGTACACTCTTCCACGCTGAGCTCTTCGTCGATGGAGTCGTCATCCTTATCGGGCTTATTGTCGTCCCTTATGTGGTCCAAAATGTGTCTGTTCATCGCCGCGGAGATGATGAGCGTGTTGCAGAACATGCAGAGTTCGGCCGAGGTGTGATGTCGTCTGGAGAGGTGGATCTTCAGTCCAGCCCTCGTCAGGCAGATCTGATTGCACAGTGGACAATTTAGGTTGCACTCTTCAGGGTACGGATTCCCGGGGCATTGTTTCTTCTCCGCGTCCGACGAGATCTTGATGTTGCTCGTCACCCGAGGTAACTTTCCCGGATCCACCGGAATAATCCTGGACGTGTAGGGGGACGAATATTGGCGTCGACTCTCGTCGAGGAGTTTGGGCTTCTCCGTCTCTTTCAGCGCAATGTAGGACAGTAGCGACTTCATCTTCGTGCTGTACTTTCCGAACGGTGAGGGGATCCTGGAGAACAGGGCGTTCATTTTGATGTCGGTGCTGAGGTCTCCCATCGGCTCCAACTTAGCCATCGCCGGGATCGTCGCGCACAGCTGAGACCAGTGTTTGATGCACTTGTGCTTGTGCAACATCCAGATCGTCATGAAATTCCTGCGACAGATGTCGCAGACGTGTGGGCCAGGGACCTCGTAGTGCTTCTCGGTGTTGTGAATCCTCAGCTCCGACCCGGTCGAGAAGATCTGGTTGCACGGTCCGCACATGTAATCGTCCACCTTGCAGCATATGTGGACGTTCACCATGGCCGTGGTGGTCAGCAACTTCTTGCAGTTTTCGCACTCGTGGATCAGAGAGTCGTCCTTGTGGACGTAGAACATGTGACGCGCGAAGCATAGCAAATTCTTGAAGGTCTGCGAGCACCTCCTGCAGTGCCACACCTTCTTGCTGGACATCTCGGCGAATTCTTCCAACATGGCTTCCTGCTCCTCCACGGATAATACTTTGCTCGGGCCCTTCTCGTGGGTTATAATGAACTCCATCTCCCTCGCCGTCCCTTTTTCCGACGAGACCGGCGACGCGACGTCCGCCCTCGCTTCTCGTTTCGCCTCGACCGTCGCGCTCTTCGTCTTCTTTTTCGGCTCGGCCATCGCGTTCTTCATCTTCTTCGACTCGACCGTCGCGCTCTTCGTCTTCTCCTTCGACTCGACCGTCGCGCTCTTCGTCTTCTCCTTCGACTCGACCGTCGCGCTCTTCGTCTTCTCCTTCGACTCGACCGTCGCGCTCTTCGTCTTCTCCTTCGGCTCTACCGTCGCGCTTTTCATCTTCTCCTTCGACTCGACCGTCGCACTCTTCGTCTTCTCCTTCGGCTCTACCGTCGCGTTTTTCATCTTCTCCTTCGACTCGACCGTCGCGCTCTTCGTCTTCTCCTTCGGCTCTACCGTCGCGCTTTTCATCTTCTCCTTCGACTCGACCGTCGCGCTCTTCGTCTTCTCTTTCGACTCAACCTTCTCCGTCTTCATCCGTTTCTCCCTCGGCATTTCGTTTGTCTTGCTATCCGAATTCGAAGTCAATAGATCGCTGAGCTCGGACTCTTCCATGTTCTCGTCGTGTATGAAGAACTTGTGCTCGTTCAGGTCCTTCTCCGAGAGGCAGCTTTTGTCGCACATGTTGCACGGCACATCCTTGTCCTTGGAGGTCTCCTTCGAGAAGGTTTTGGCGTCGACCTCGTTATCGACGTCCGACTTCTTCTCCGAAATACTGCCGTCGTTCGAATTTTCCGTGTCATCGATCTCTCCGGTCAATTCGGCGATCAATCTCTCCAAGTCGTCTTCGAGTTTGCTCTTCTTATCGGGCTCCGACTTCATGATTTCTTCGATCTTCCTCTTCAAGACGTCCGGTTGAGGTTTCTTTTCGGGTTCCGCTCTAGGCCTCGAATTGGGTTTCCTCACCACTGCACATTCCATCGTTTTCTTTTCCTTCTTATCGACTTTCTCCTCCTTAATCGAAGCCGTCTCCTCCTTGATTAAATTCAGTTCTTGACTAACGACTTGCTGCGCGGACTCGTTAGGCTCTTCCTTATTTATTCTGACTCCGCAGTCAAGGTCCGCTAAATTATCCTGACTGATCCCGCTATCATTTTCGGAAGAAGCAGAGGAAGCTTTCGGTTTCTTCGATCCCTCTGCCTCGTTCTTAACGCTCTCCTTCGAATTCTTGCTCGCTGCTTCGTTCACCTGCGGCGAAGTGGAGGGATCGTTCTTTTTCGTTGGACTAAGCTTCTTCCCGGAGTCTTCTTTTTCCTTGCGAGGACTCGTCTCTACGCATGGGAGCATCTTCGGCTTCGGAGGACTCTCTGCTGAAACAGAATTCCCGACATTAGAAACACGCCCGGAAATACATATTTCGCGATCAACGATCGATCCCCTAATAAGTCTCCATTTATCCAGTTTCATTCTCTTACATCCAGAATGCCACACCTAACTCAACCGAAATCTTTCCTCGCCTTGCACGAATTAGTCCGTACTTTCAACATTTTCCTTACCAGCGAAGACGTCACAAAATATTCCAGATAAAATTAGGAGAATACTTTGCGACACGATCGATCTATCCAGAGCAACCGAATCAACGAAAGGCTAATCAAGGTTCATTGCTTGGGATTTTCCTAGATGAAACTACATACATACCCTGCTTAGGAAAATCGTCTTTCTTCTCGGACAAATGTAAAGTATCCCCGGTACTCGCAAGAGACGTAACGGGTGGCAATCTGGGCTCTCTGTGCTTAAACTTGTGTACCAGGAATGCCGACTGCTGCTTACAGTCCTTTAAGCAAATATCGCAGACAAACGAGTTGTCGGCAGGATGCGCATCCGACTGGTGCTTCGAGAGGGTCTTTGCGTCCAAGAAGACGTCTTTACAGACCGAACAGGAGTAAACTTTGTGGACTGACTTTGCTATGCTGGCCCCCTGCAAGCTCGCAGTCGCATACAACCCTTCGCTCCCTTTGCTCAACGCCGAGACAACTTTGCCCACTTTCAAGGGGGTGACCTCCAAGCCAACGCCATCCTTAGAGTTCGTCTTCAGACTCTGCAGCCTCAGGACGGAATCCTGGATCCCTACGATGGACCCAACGAGGTCTCCCGGCCTTTCGAAAAATTTACTCGCATCACGGGCGTCCAACAGCTTGGCCATCTTCTCTGGCCCGTCAGAAGAAGACAGATTGTCAAACGTGCAGAAATTCGTGGGGAACGGCAATGTCTTGTCGTCGTGCTCCGAGTTAACGTGGTCCTCGTAGTCCTTCAGCCGCATGAACCGGATGTTGCATATGCCGCAGACCTTGTCGTATAAGTCCACGTCGGAATTCCCGGTATTCGCACAGGACAGCGAATTGTCTTCCTTAGAGGATTTGACCTTAGACGACGTCGACTTCAACAGCTTGGTCGAACCCTTCCTGTAACATTTCAAGGGGGTGTCCGCACTCTCTCCGGCCTTCTGAATCCTCGGGACCTCGGAGGGATCCAGCGCCTCCGCCAAAGTCTTGCTCCTTTTCGCAGGATTCTTCGTATCCGGCGATGCTGGCCGTTTCACCTCGTCGTTCAAGGGGTTCAGCCTGGGGTTGATCGCCAGGTTCACGGTGTCGTTGTGCTCCAACACGATGTGTCTATTGAACTCCACCATGAAGTCGAACTTCCTGGGACAGTAGCGACAGACGAACGGGAATTCCTTGCCTAGTGCGAAATTTTTCTTCGGGGCCGGTTTGGACGGGTACTGCTCGACGTGCTTCGGCTTGCAGGTGCAGATGCCCGAGTGCATGTTCTCGATGTGCATCTCGAGGAAGTACAGCGATATAAAGTGCAGGTTGCAGAGAGGACACTTAACGCTCCGACCTGCTCTCTGGATCCCGGACGTAAAAGGACATGGGATGGTTTTTTTCAAGTATTCCATCGCTCTGCACAGATCGCAAAGCGATTTGCTGTATGAGGTCTTCTGGGCGGTTTGCTTCGTTTTCGCTGCACCTGCGTTGCCGCCTGCAGGTGCGATGGCCTGAAAACAACATAGTTTGATAGGGTTGGAACCTGAATTCTCTGCCTCGTCGGCAGTTTTCGGAGAGGTTCCTTCTTTCAAATTCTGCACTATGGATTTTGTCGTGTCAGTCGTGGGCACCAGGTGTTTTGCAACTACCTTCGCCGTCGAAGGGCCGTCGTAGCGAAAATCCGAGAGTTTGAATCTTCTCTTTCGAGCGGATTTCATGGAGTTCTTTATATCGGGATTACTCACTTGGCCCTTCTCGAGGGTGAGCTCTATCACCTCGTCATTGCACTCTCCCTGCTGAATAGTTTTTGAAGCTACCTCGGAACTCGACAAGTTTGAATTTTCTCCGGATTTGCTCGTAATTGTTGAGTTTGACCTTTGTTCAGACTTCTTCGTACGTTGCGAATCTAATTTCCCTTCGAGCGTTTTCGGTGAATCTGAATTTTCTTTGGGGTTCAAACTCGGTGAATTGGGCTTCTTTACTTTATGCTGCTCCATTTTGGGCAACTCTTGGGAATGAGATTCTTGGGTTTCAGATTTTTCCGCGCACTTTTCTTCAACTCCTACAGCACTTTGTAAATCTACCTTGCTGTCAGACTTCGGTTTGGACTGTAAACTGGGTTTTCTTGCAGATTTTGCTTTTTGACCTGGATCAAGGTTCTCTGCAGGTTTCGTTACATTTTGCAAATTTTCTTTGAACCCTGGACCCGTCTCTTCGGGTCCTTCGTTTGGTGTAGCTTCACCAAGTTCATTATTCGTATCATCTTTCGACCCTCTTTGTTTTCCACTGGGTCCTGCTTTGTTGATTTTATTCTCGGTAGATTCCAAAATAACTTTTCTGGCTGCAAATCTTGTCAATTTTTTTACTTTATCTTGTTTTACTGATTTAGTAGTTAAATTTTCCAGTCTGGTGATTGCCTTCTCCTTGCTCGTAACAATTTCAGATGCTTCGACATCACCGATACCTGTCGAATTCTCCATCGCTTCTATATTAGGTGCGTCATCCTTGCTTTTTTGAAGTTTATCTTTTGTTTCCTTATGTACGACGTTACCTTCCTCTTTCGATAGCGAAGCGTTGTACAGATCATCGATTCTTGTTAAGGGAACTACTAACCGTTTTATCCTCTTTAGTCTCATAAAGCCTGTTGCGGAAAACGATGAAGCAACAGATGTTGACGCTATTATAGCCAAGTCACTTAAATTATTATCAACTTCTATATCATCAACTTTACTAACAGATTCAAGTTTTACATCTGGCTCCTTTAACTGAATATTGCTCTCCGGTTGCTTTGTCTGAGTATTGTCTTCCGGTCGAATTTTACGTGGTCTCCCCCTCTTACGGCGAACTTCTGGTTCAGGTTTTGGTTGTGAAGCTTCCTCTGCTTTAACTTCAGGTTTGATCGATTTAATATCACTTACTTTAAATTTAGGCTTCAGCCTTAATGGGTACTTCTCATGGAATAAATTCTTATTCGACAAAACTGGTCTTTTCCGTGAGACATTTCTATGCATTTGAACCTTGCTTGGATTTGACTTACTTTGTTGCAGCTTATTTGTTAACTTGCTCGCCAAATTTGTCATTTTTACAGAACTTAATGAGGAAGTATGTTTGACCGTCTTAATCCCCTCGCAATGTCTATCCATTGAAAAAGTGGTCGATCTTAAATTGTTTGTTACGTTGGAAGAATTTAAAGACGACACTGGAATAGGTTCTGCATCCATTAATAAATCAGTACAGGTGTCCAAGGTTGGTATTATGCTTGGTGTCATGATTCGTTTTTGTTTCTTCAGAAGACCCTCGATTTGTTCTTGTTTAGTAAGAATTTCCTCTTCTTCTGGATTTCCAACATCGTGCACTACTTTCTTATGTTCTTGAAGAACCTTCTTATGAAGGAATGTTTCACCACATACATCACAGAATAGTATCTGGGTATCAGGATGTGAAAGAGTCGCATGTTTGTGCAGCTCAAGCCTGTCCATAAAAATTTCTTTACATGCTACACAATCTGCTTTCCAGTTACTTGAATCGCAGGTGTTCTTTATTTCTGCAGTCAAAATATTTGGAAATATGCTTGTAGCTTTCTCCGATACTGGGACAAGTGATAAATTGCCTTGACTGCAAAGGTTGTGCGATGGCTTACACACCTCGCCAGATGTCAAACTTTCCGACACTTCCCCAGATAATCCTGATTCAATCAATGACAATGGTTGAACTGAATTCAGTGCATTGCTATTTATGGACATTAAAGTTTTTGAAACAGGTTCGTTCATTTGCTCTTTTAATGGCTTTATTTTACTATTATCACTAGGACTACTGGTTTTCTTATTCATTTGTTGAAAAACATCAATGCGTTCAAGTCTCACAACAGGTGAACATACATTCAATTGCAATTGCTCAATATCATATTTTTTCGTTAACTCATTAGTTTTTTCTTCGGTAACGTTGGACGATAATTCTGAAATGGGCTTTGAATGAATCTTATCCAAATGTCTTTCTAGCTCCTCAACCGCTGACGAATCAGCCTGTTTAATCAATCTTATATTCGATTCATCCTCTGCTGATAAGTTTGGTGTTTTAACAAGTTTTTGGACGTCTTCAATTGATTCCTCATTATCGTCATGCTTTAATAATTTAGATGTTTCATTTGAATTTCTTTTATAGGGAACAGAGGATTCGTTTTTTGGAATCTGATCGACTAAGTTTACTCCCAATGATTCCTTCAATGCGAAATTGCCTGAACCGTCGCTCAATGGGAAATCATCTGAAGCTGTGCAACTTTCGGTCATTACCTGAGCATTCTCGATCTGACTCGTCAAATTCTGAGTCAAGTTTCCCTTTTTACTATCAGCAGGATCTACTGTATTATCGACACTGGGCAATGTACACTTTTCATATTTATCACTAGTTACTTGTTTGGAACAAGTTTTGGTTATTGCATTCTCGATATCCCTATGCTGCTCGAACTGGTTATCGGAACTTGCAGATTGAAGAGAGCTTTCGATCGACTGATTACCTGACATCAATGCAGAGACATTCCTGGATTTTCTAGGTTTAAGCAGAGGAGTTGTACGAGACATTTTGATAACGTCCTCGTGAATATCCGAACAACAAACGCGGTCGAGACCATCACTTGATCTTGCTCATTGTTGCGGATAGCTATGTTAGCTCGCATCAAAATATTCCGTATTTTACATTGTACCAGACCGTTAGAGATGACGTTTACAAAACAATATATACCTGAAACCAGAAAAGCACATAAGAATGTGGCATAGGCGTGCTTTTGTAGCGATACATCGCGTCAAGCGATCTAACCTCAACTTTCATTCCACCGTCCGCTCACGATTCCTGAATTGGTCACAGCGATTCTTAGCTCCCAAATTTTGACCTATCACTTTCAAGTAGTCCGGTTTTCACGTATATGCGGCAAACTGTCCTCAAATAATCTTGAACAATCAAACACGACGCCATACAAAAAGTCGCAATCACGGAAGAATACTACGAACTATTTTGGTGGCACCATGATACAAGCAGAGATGCGTTGGGAGATTGCTCACGGGCAGGGTCGCGTTATCGCATCCTGTGCTGCCCCCTAGTGGAGAATGTCGACGGCTAGTGCACTTAACACCTGTTACCCCTGTTACCGGAAGTTGAAAAGCTCGAAACCGGCTGAAAAAGTCACGTCTATCTACGGAGCCTCCCCTCTTCACGAATGAAAAAGCCGTCGGTCTCTGAAAAATATTTCGTTGGTTTTAATTCAAACGTTGCACGTAATACGTTCTTCACATTCCACCCCATTCGCTAAACGGCTCTACCGAGGATCACAGGAACCAGAGATGAGTTGGGAGATTGCTCACGGGCAGGATCGTGCGATCGCATCCTGTGCTGCCCTCTGGTTTCGTACGTTAGCTTTCACCGTTTTTTGCCCCCAAGGGCGGCGCAACGAATTTCTGATAGGAGCTCGCGCACTCGCGATGGCGGTACCATCTACCAGTCGCTGTTGGCGGCTCACGTACTCGTGATGGTAATACCATGCGGCAGTTGACGCAACACCTTCGGCACTCTCCGGCAACTCTCCAGCACTCTCCGGCTCACTGCGGCACTCTCCAGCTCTCTCCGGCACTCACCGGCAACTCTCCAGCACTCTTCGGCAACCCTCCGGCACTCTCAACAATGTACGGAATAGTAGTAGATAAGAAGATAACGTCAAATGGAGCGTCACGGGTGTTCTTCCCTTACCGTAAAAACCGAACAGTGTTGGTAAGCGTAGGTAAGCCACCACCGTCAACTGCCGCATGGTATTACCATCACGAGTACGTGAGCCGCCAACGGCGACTGGTAGATGGTACCGCCATTGCGAGTGCGCGAGCCCTATCAGAAATTCTTTGCGCCACCCTTGGGGGCAAAAAACGGTGAAAGCTAACGTACGAAACCAGAGGGCAGCACAGGATGAGATCGCACGATCCTGCCCGTGAGCAATCTCCCAACTCATCTCTGCACGATATTCCGATGAGCCCGCCACCTAGCAGCGACGCGCTGAAATTGATCCATATTAGTATAAACCACTCCTAAATACACGACAGGTTCTGATGTTACCTGCTGATTCGAGAACATTTCTGTGGCACCGTATCCAAAATATGAAATATGTGAACGCTCTTCTGCTATCTACGGTCCATGAATTGAGACACCATTAGAACCTCCTTATAAAATTACAACTTGATTTATACTGAAAAACAAATTCTCTCAACAATCTGTATAATGCCACTTAGCTCCTTGAACCTAATTCCTCCATAAGGAGCTGAGAAAAGAGGGCGCTTGTAATGATTTTAAACAACGGTTTTTCTTGATTGGCTGATGGCGGCCATATTGGAAAAACAAGTGCGCCATGCAAGCCGCGAAATTTTCAGACACAAGGTATGAAACTTCACTAATAGAAGCCTCCTCGAATAAATGATATTAGTTTCTCATTTGACTCCTTGATAAAACTGTACTTCATGAATTGAAATATTTGATGTAGACATTTAAAACAGGATTTCGAGCTTTGCGATACGAAAGAAAGGTAATATTAGTCGTGTTTAGGAAATGTACAAAAGCTTTTGCAGAGTAAGTAATGTTCACGGATATTATATTCTCCAATAAATACCTCACGAGTACCAATAACTTCATTCCATATTACGTTAACGTTTATTTCGGGGCCGAAGCAGTCCGGCAAGGTTCAGTTCGAATTAACATTGTAACGGAATGAGTCTTGCTCCACTCCTAGGCGTGGGCAAGTTTTGCGTATATTTAATTACAAAACGTTCGGTAAATAGTCCATCTGAGGCAATAAATCCGTAAATCGTGTCCCCGAGGGAATTCCTCTTCGAGATTGCTTCTCGACCCGAGTAGGCTAATCACTCGTTTGCAACTGTAAAATATACATTTATTTCTCCATCGTTCGCAGACCACAGGCACAGCTCCACACCAGTGATTGCATCCAATGAACCGTTGCCCGTGATTTTCCACAGGCAGCAAAAAATAGAATCCTTGCCGCGTCGACGATCAAAATGCGACATTAAGGTAAACGCGAGAATCCAAATACCCTCTGCATATCTGTATATCCAACATAACGAGAATTTGGTCGTAACCAGGGGTACATATATTCCAGCATGCAGATCCAAAAAGTAACACAGCCTCGGGCGACACGAGGTACATAAATAAGATCTCCCCGAATTAAAAGGAAAAAGGAGAAAGAAGGAGGACGAAAGGAAGGCGAACGGTTCCTATGTAGACCCGCTCCCGCAGGACATAACGCGAAAGCCCGCGGGGGAAGGATAAAGAGAGCGACAAGGAGGCTCTCTCCGGACTTCTCTCCACGTTCACCGCCGAGAATAATTTCGGGCGATAGGAGGCATTCGCTAATTGACTCGGGTCCGAGGCGTAATTCGCTGGTAAACTTGGTCCCAGCCCGAAAGCGCGACGCGGAGGGGGTGAAGAGAGCGAGAAAGAGAGGCCAAGAGAGAGGGGAGTCTCGGAGAAGGTAGATCGTAAGATAGGCTAGGCCGCGTACCGGCTCGAGACCGGCAAGGTGAGGCAAGATAAGGTAAGGTAAGGCAAGCCAGAGAGGAACAAAATATAAAGAGGGGATTGACTACATGGAGTCAACGTTCCGAGCGGGTCAGCGACCACTATCTCTTATACACGACCGAGGCCGCTCGTTCGCCGCCTCTTCTTCTTCGTCCTCCTCGTCTTCTTCGACTTCGTCTTCCTCGACTCCGTCGACTTCTTCGTCCTCGTCGTTGCCTACAGCCCGAAGTGTAATACCCTCCTCCGCGACAGGACCCGCTCTCTTCTTCGTAGATCCTGGCTTCCTGCCTCCTCCTTTGCCCGCCTCTCCCGCGATTCGCGCCGAGATATAGCCGCCGCCTTTCGAGGCATTACCCATCGCCGATTTGTCCCGAGTCACTCGATGGCCGATTATGAAATCCTCGAGTCTGCCTTGGGAATGAATCGCCAAATGCGCCTGGAGTCGTCTGGGAACGACGCTCGCTCGAATCCTCGCCTTTCCAAGTCTAGTCTCGACCGCCGCTCCGTGGAAGAAAATAGAATCCTGCGGAATATTTCATGCATCGAGAGATGCGGAGCTTTTTTCATTCCCGAATTCTCGTTGGATAAAAATCCTTGTCCAGTTTCAACGGGCATACTCGTTACGAGCCGCCCCCTGGGGCCCTTAAAATATCCGGGTTTCCTCGATACGATCATCCCGAGGGTCATTTAAGGCGACGTAATTTCCCCTAAGGAATTTCCCCACATCCACGGCAGATCCCAATCGTAGAGGCCGAGCTTTCGAGGATTCCTCCACTTCTTGAATTCATGAATCGAGCCGAGTCTTCCGACCAGTCGCTCCCCTCCTCCCGGAGAAATTCCTGAAGACCGGTCCGATACCTAGAGCTTTGAAAGCTCGGCCTTCCCTAATGAGCTTAGAAGTCAAATCGGATGCGCCTTCGCGATAAATGATTAACCGATAAGGTCGAATCTGCGATTTCACTTTTCCGCGGCCAGGGGAGTACCGGCCGCGTTATTGGCTGCAACTCGTTAACATACTTATCCGGCTTTTACAGGGTCTTCGAAGGTGGCCGATGACCTCGACATTAACTGGCTGTCGGCTCTTTAAAAAGGACCTCCTCTCCAGCGAGGACGCCATGCCAGGCCCGAAATAATCCCTCGGATCCATGGAGAAGAACGGTCAGCCATGACCGAATGTTCATACCCCATGACCGTCGAAGAAGGATCTCTCGTCCGGCATTCTCTCCAAGTATTCCTGTGATAGAAGTAACCGCAAATCTATTACCGATCCTCCACCGGTCCGTTGATTCCCGATCTGGTCAGCTGGACCGCCCGTTCCCATGGGTCCTGGTGCACGTCCTTGGGAACCGAACGGCCACGTCGAGGGGAGCGATTTGCCTGCAAATGCGTAATCGTAAAAAAACACTTTTGGTTCCACCCGAAGAGTCATTTCGCGAATTCGTAAGTGGGTACCTTTCCTTCTCCTGGCCTCTCTCCGACGCGGACCAGGAGAAGGTACGAACGCAATCGACACGGCATGACCACCTTACGTAACGCGTCATGAAGCTGCGAGCACTTCCAAACCGGATATTCGAGTCCTGCAACTGACCGAGAGCAACCCGGATTCGACGAACGGCAACGCTCCGCTTTCTGGTTGCTCGATCGAGTTAGCCAAACCGCGGGACATCCGGCGATGATCCGAGATGATCGGCTGAGGTGATCTGGTCATCGCGGGATCTTGGTGTCTGCATCTGAAACCGTTAAACGGGGAGATGTTTTCGATGCTTGATGCTTGGACCCTTCTTGAAATCAACGTGGAGACGAGCCGCAACGCTGCAACCGAGAGCAACCTGGATTCGATCAGCAGCGACACTCCGTTTTTTGGTTGCTCTGTCGAATTATCCAAACCATGGGACATCTAGCAATGATCATCATTAAACGGGACAATATTTTACATGCTAAAGGTTTCGACCTGGTTGAGATCAACGCGGATACCAGCAACAACGGTGCAAGACCCGCAATTTAATGGAAGACATTTTTAGAGCCTCAGGGTCGAGGGTGAATATTTAATATTTTAGTAAATTGGAAATTAAGCGCTTTGCAGATTAAGCTGTCCGTTTTGCAGATCCGCTCGCGAAGAATGGATATTTACATTCATGAGTGCCCGGCCATTTATCGCATTACCAGGTTGTAAAGCTGCCACTTGCATTGTGAGACCCGCTCAGCATCGATTAGTAGAGTACAACCGCGTCCTCCCGTTGTAAATCTCTTTAACATTAATTGCATGTGCATCTGTTCACGTATATGTGTGAAGGACGTCTGACGAATTTTTCTCCGATTTTTCTATTTTTTTCTTTTTTTGTTTTTAACTCTTCACCGAGATACCCTTTCACCCTCAGTATTTAACGCTCCATAACGCCCTGTAACTGTTTAGTCACATGTCCGTACATGTAAATTACTTAAGTTTATTTCTCCTTCCAAATTCTTACATAAAACCTTATTATTATAACTTCATTGTAACCAAGAAGTCGGTTCATAAATTGTAAATTAATCGTTAATCTGCATCAATTAGCATGTTTGCTAATTTCATGATATGTGCATTTTCTTTTTCAGGGCATGAAAGAAAACATCGGATGGTACAGGGTTAACTAGTAAGTTTGAACTTCGCTGGAAACTTCCTTTTTACACAAAGTGTCGCTTAGCGACTGTTAAACGCTGAATGGTGAAATATCACGGCACGAAATTTAAACTTGGACGCAATTTTCCCCGTGAAATATGACGACATGCCGCCACTATTAAATTAGAACTATGGGTGAGTTTCCTCTTCCCCGCTTTCTATTCGACGACGCGTTTCTTCG